GCTGAAAAATCCTCTATAATAAAAGCGTAATATGAAACTCGCCGAAATTGTCCTTGTGAAAGAAGACCCTCAGAAGGGGACGGGGCTGGCAAGTAGGTGGCGCCAGCCCAGCCAAGGCCCACCCAGCGGGCAGACGGAGGGGACGGCGATGGGGGTTGGGGGGAGGCGGCAGCGACCAGCAGTGGCAGAGGAGCGATGGGGGGGAGGGGCCATGTCGACCCCTGATTGGCTGCCTGGTCGCCTCCCACAGACTGTGGCCTGGTCAGGGGCATGCAGAAAGCAGCTGATCACACTGATGTTTCTCCTTCTCTCTCCCTCTCTCTAAAAGTCAATAAAAATAACTTTAAAAAATATTTTTTAAAATCTTTATAAAGAACATAACAGCCCTGGCTGGTGTTCTCAATGGTTAGAGCTTTGCCCACACACCAAAGAGTCTAGGGTTCGATTCCCAGTCAAGGGCACGTACCTGGGTTGCAGGTTCAATCCTCGGCCTGGATTGGGGCAAGTGTGGGAGGCAGCTAATCAGTGTTTCTCTCTCACATCAATCTATGTCTCTCTCCCTCCCTTCCTCCCTTCCACTCTCTTTAAAATCAATGGAAAAATGTCCTCAAGTGAGGATTCAGCAACAATAACAAAGAACAGTGTGTGGCACTTAGTGAGCTCACCATGGTTAATGTAGTACTGTATTATTTATATCCCTCACATCCACATTCAGGTTTTGTGGGGCTTTTATGGTATTACTAGAGACCCGGTGCACGAAAATTCATGCACTGGGGGTGGGAGGGGGTCCCTCAGCCTGGCCTGCGCCCTCTCACAGTCCAGGAGCCCTCAGGGGATGTCTTACTGACGGCTTAGTGCCAGATGACAGGAAAGGGATCGGAGTCAAGGAAGGCAAGGCCTCACTGATAAGGTGACTCATGAGGTAACGCGAAGGAAGTGAAGTTAGCCATCTGAGAAGAGTGGGAGAATGACTCAGGGCTCAGAGGCAGAGCTGGGGAAGCAGTGAGTGAGGGAGAAGGTGCTAAGAGATTAAGAGAGAAATGATGGGGATGGAGAGGGAGAGGTTAAGACCTCAGGACCAGATTTTATTCTGAAATGAGATGCCTTTGGAGAGTTTGGGTCAAATGAGTCACATATAACTGTGTTTTTTTTCAAAACGTTTTAGTTATGGAATCTTTTGTTCAAGGGATCCACAGAAGATTAATATGTAACACAGATAAGAAAAAGGTACTTAGAAACCTGACTATGCTGTTCCCACTTTCCCTCTCGCTCCTCTCAAGTTTACAAATGAGGACAGTCTGTAAGATCCAAATGTTCATATCCTGCATCCAGAACTTCATAATCCAGGCCCATCCTAACTTTTCAAAAAGCTGTTCCTAGGGAATCGCAAAAAAAGAGTAAATCTAGCTGCTGACCCATAGTAGAGAAACAAATGTGCTGCCACAAAAATCAGTCTCTGTAACACTTCTTTATCAACCTAGTACCAAAGGCACAAGGTCAAAAGTCCCCCACTTCCCCCCCTCCTACACCTCTCAGGCTACATACTACATGGTGATAGCTTGTGTTCCCTTTCAGGGCTTCCTTACATATTCATTTTTCACTTCATTTCACTTTAATTAAAACATGTTCGAGCAATACCATGTGATCTACCTCTGTGACATTTTTCTTCTGGATGGTAGCCTCCCTGTCAATTTAATATTTTAGGGAAAATTCTTCCTCCAGTT